TATATATATTATATGTTTATCAATTGTGGATTTTTGCTTTCCAAAGACACTGTGCATTTATTTATTGTTGTGTATTCGATTTCGGACTGAGTATGTCGATACAACTTTTAGGTATATGGTGTCAAGCGTATGCCAGAATATATCAATGGTACTAAATATGTATTCCCTTACTGCTGTTCCAATTGTTAGCAGGGTTTGATTAGTTAAACTCCCCTGGAGATAGTGAAATGTATCACGGTTTTTCTAATATATATATCTTATTTAATCCGGTACAGATCTGCTGAAAGTCCTTACTTGGTAGGCTGTCCGGCCTCGAGCGAGAATTAATCAGAAACCGTTAAACACACGGTCGGGTCGGGTGTAGCTCGATCATGGCTAGAAACATGGGGCTGATACTGAATAGAGTACGATACAGAGCTCGGTGCACTTGGCACGCATAGAGCTGACTGGCAGTGGCCCGCCCAACCATGCTGATATGTTACATCCCTAAGAGAGTGTACGAGCGAATACCATGCGTGCGTGTGCGTAGAGAGGCTGGGTGTGGGTGTGGTTGTAAACCATCTGAATCTGGGCTGGAAGGGGTGTGTGCGGGTGGTTACTGGTCAGTAGCGTGGTCACACGACGAATACAGCTGAGGTGTGTTTCGAGTGCCATCTGTGCGCATTCGGCTCAACAAAGAAAGGACATCTGAGAATCCCCCAAGGCCTCGGTACGGCGTATGGCTTGATAGCTGGGCCAATGGGCTGGTCCTGATAGCTGGGCCAATAGGCTTGTCCTAATAGCTGGGCCAATAGGCTTGTCCTAATAGCTGGGCCAATGGGCTGGTCCTAATAGCTGGGCCAATGGGCTGGAACTGATAGCTGGGCCAATGGGTTGGTCCTAACAGCTGGGCCAATGGGCTGGTTCTGATAGCTAAGCCAATGGGCGGGTCCTGATAGCCCAAGTTGTACCTGTTAGTCTGGGTTGTACGCAATCGGTGGATGCCCTAATACTGAAGCCAGGTAGCTGTTTTAAGTTCAATGCGCCAGTGTCCTTGATAAGCGCTCCAGGGGTTATCAGCTGCATCGCTGAACGATTAAGGAAGAGATTGCTGAGTAAGTTTGATTATCATTGCGAAATTGCGGACTTTTGTTTGTCGTCAGCGTGTGAAGCGGCATGTGACCGTAGATACGGATACGCGAGGTTCGGCATGACCGATTTGGTTTTAGGGTTTAGGGTTTAGGGCACAGTGCCTGTGTGCGGTCGAAAGCACACAACTTCAGTCTAGCACGAGTGCGTTAGACGGTGCGGCTGCGCACAAGGGCCTCTAGTACACCCGATGAGGAACAGGCAGTGGCAGCACCAACTGCGTGGGTGGGCGCCCATGCCTGAGAGTTGGGGCTGCGATAGCGAACTCGTCTTGGATAAAACCCTAAACTCTAATGACCCTGGCGAACTCGTCCTGGATGGCCTTCTGGAGATGAGGGTAGCTACGGCACAGATATGCTCAGTGGAATCACTGACACGTCTGATGTGATGGTGTGCGTGCATTGCTTCGAAAATACTTAACATGTCCCACTGAAACTTCTGTTGATGCAAACGGGTGACGGAATGGAGATGACAGATTGGTGTTGTTCATTACGCTAAGTGGGGAACACTCGATCTGGGAGGGGGCGTCCGCGAAGAATGATAAATCTATAACAATAATTCGTCCGATAGGCCTGGGTACAATAGTAAGCACCGGGACGGTTGTCAGGGATATCCAAACTCAACACGAACGGTGGATGGGGGGTGTATATCTAATCCAATGGGTACGTTGTACCTTGATGTGCCGGTGTATATATGTGTCACACTGTAAGAGCTAGGCGCATTATTGGCCATTCCACGGGGAGGTTCTCTACTGGAGCAGATATTAAACACACGGATTTTAGATAGGGCTGGGTGTACCTATGGCCCACGCCACGCCACGCCACGCCACGCCACGCCACGCTACTCCAGTCCGGCTATGAACAGAACAGAACAGTACAACACGTATCGTACGAAACGCTAGAAGTTAGGGTTATAGATGAGGCCTACGTTTCCACAACGCTGAGCGTGTATTTACATAGCAGAAGCGGACGTATATGACACCAAACACCTTATCTGACTGGTACACGCCAGCGCAATACTTAGTAATATATAGTAATACAGCCGTACGCTTGCGGCATTAACAGCGACGTAATTGTAGACATGCAAAGAAATTAGACAAACGATCTGCCGCGTGTGGTTCAAGAAGCTAGCAGAAGCCGGCGAATGGAATAAACATGTTTCTCTACACAACAGGATGACGTTCTACTTAGTGGTGTCGCCCCTTATTTATACATCCACACTTTGACTCTGCCATTCGCTGGTCAGTTCAATAATCATGCCGCCTACGTGCACTATGTTCTTATTTATATTACATATGGTCTTATTTATACTACATCTACAATTTGACTCTGCCATTCGCTGGTCTGTTCATAATCATGCCGCCTACGTGCACTATGTTCTTATTTATATTATATATGGTCTTATTTATATTACATCTACACTTTGACTCTGCCATTCGTTGGTCTGTTCAATAATCATGCCGCCTACGTGCACTATGTTCTTATTTATATTACATCCACACGTTGACTCTGCCATTCGCTGGTCTGTTCATAATCATGCCGCCCACGTGCACTGTGCTACGCCTCGCTGAGTGACAGTCTACTGGCCCCATCGCCTTTCTCAGGCGCACCCATCTCCACTAACGTTGCTACGGAGTCTGAGTCTGTTTCCACCTTGCTGTCTATATGACCAAAGGCCGCAATCATCAGCGCGTCATCCTCTACCTCTTGTCCTAAACGCACGTGTGGGCTGCCTGACCTATTACTATCATCCATGAACAGAGCTATGTGTGCCTTAAACACACCCGTTATAACTGTCAGGGCGTGTCCCATATCATACGATACGCCGCCCCCATTGGCGCGCTGGTGCATACGTGTGATGCACTCCACCAACGCCAAACGATAGCTCGGCATGCGGTGAGTCACTGGCTTACGTTTGGCCTTGAGTTGGAAGAACCGTTCGGGAAAGTTCGGGTCCACTATCAGGTCTCCCATCTCCGCCAGCACATAGCACTTGCCGACGTGTTTGTACGTGACATTGAGGAAGCTCGGCGCACGGAACTTGGGCAGCGATGTGACCGGGTCGCCATCGGTGACTATGCGGTGTGTGTGGGGCAGTCGCTTGTTGTAGTGGTACACAAAGTTGGCGTTACCCACTCGAGGCGAGCCAAAGGTGTAGACGGTCATGTCCAACTCAGAGGGGTCGAAGGCGTGTGACAACTCCCAGGCACAGAGTGTGCACAAGGCTGCGCCTAAGGAGTGGCCAGTGACGAATATATGTAATGCATCGGGTGCCACAGTCTCCTCCGGAGTCACTGCCACGTGGGCAAGCATACCATCGTTCTCGCAGTCAGATGATATCAATTTGTGTGTAGGTACTGGTGCGGTGTATTCCCTATGTGTGCTCGAGTGAGGTTGTGAGTGTATGTGGTCCGGGGATCGCAAAGGAGGCGTATCTGGGCCTGACTTGAATGGATGTGGTTGGCCATATGGCGGGGGTGAGTTGGAGTGTGTGGATGATTGTTGGGGCGGTTTCGGATTGGTAGGCGGAGAATTCCGGGGTCTATGTCTATGTAACGGTATATCTGCAGCTGAGATCAATTCCTCGTCTGAGCCAAGTCGAGCCTTGTGCAACGCAATCTGCGCACGCACTTGGGCGATTACACGTGTGCGTACAGACACAAACGCGGTCTGGAAGCCACGGTGTACACGTACGTTCTCTTTCCGACACTCACTATCATCCACCGAACACGAGTGCTTGAACCTGGCCTTACCCAGATCTTTGTTCTCTACGGCGGAGCAGATAGGTATGAGGTTCGCCCGCAAGTCTGTGGCCGCGTTTCCTGCACTGACAGTACCTCTGAAGGTGATGATTAGCCGCCCATCCTGTCGGTATATGATGCAATGGGTGTCTGTACGCTCATCTGTGATGTATTCAATTAAGTCAAAGTCCGTGTCCGAGCTTCGGCAATCGTCGGTTTGCAGAATATAGGGTATGGCCCGCCCACCATCGTCCCACAGCGACAGTGCCGTGACTTCCTCTGCAGCTGCCACACAATTGGGGGCTGTTGGTATCGTAGCGTCCTTCGCGAGATCCGCGGACGCAGCTGTCGTAGCCTTGTCGGTAAGAGAAGCATCGCCAGAGGTGGGTGATGTACGCTTATCCGAGTCTCCATAGGTGTGCGGCGTATTCCTATCGGTAGGTACACTGTTTGTGCTGCTGAGAGTGGAGTCTATCTCAATATGTGTGGGATAATCATCACCCTCCCTAGGTCCCTCACTCCCTGTAGCAGCACGCGCGCTTTCGCTTGCTTGTACACCGTGACTTCGGTCATGGCTTCTGCCACCCCTTTGCCCTTCCATTCCTCCCATCCCACTCGTACCGTCACACAGGTCTTTAAATGCCTGGATGTTCCCAACACCCCCGTTACCTGACCTCACACCCACACCCACACTCTCGCCGACACAGCCCCCACTGTCAGGCTCGCCTGCACGGTCCATTAGCTTCTGACTAGCACGTGTACTACTATTGCCAGGCGCATGGCTGCTCACCCTACTTATTTCGGTGCACTCGACCGCGGCCACAGCCGTTTCGGGGTTGCAATTCTTCACGTACCTATACGCCAGCCGACTTCCGCTGCACATGGCGTTGGCTGTGTACAGAGAGAACGGGCCACGCACATACGATGAACGCACAAGTATGTCCACGCACGTCCGCTCGTCACCCCGAGAGGCATCGTTGTGCGGAGGAAGGTAGCAATAGCTCAAGCTGAACACGACAGCGATGATATATACATTGACCCCTATGCTCTTGAAGAACAGCAAAGACAGGCCGGTGTAGGGCGAGTACTTGAACACGTCGTATCGGTTGGTGAAGACCATTCGCACACACAGGGTTTCAAACATGATCAGGAGAAACAGAGTGGATTGCACGGAGACCATCATCCTGAAGCCCAACTGCCGGTATCTCGCGCGATAATTCCATTCCCCTTTCAAGGCAGCCGAAGTTCTGTACCACACGTAAATCAATGTGAGGAAGTAATACGACAATATAGCGTACGTAATACCCGTTCCCCACGGTCTGAGGGCATCCACGAGGCTCGTTGTGAAAGTCTGAACGTCTTTCAAAACGTTTCCCACGCATAACAACACAACCACAGTCACCCACACTCCAAAAAACGCCAGTTTACTTCCGTAGAACCGAATGTCTCGGACTGAGCTGTGCTCGTCCGTCCCGAAGCTATCGAGAAAGCATAGGTTCAGGAAGAAGATCACTCCCACGCTGAAGTTCACGATAGCCCCGTCGACTGCCATGACGATAGTCAACGCTTGGGGGTTGCGGTCGCCAACAAGACTTGTCAGTGCCAAGTAGTACACAGGATCAGTAATGACAAAGCACGCACACACACACTGCACCAGCGCCCACTTCCGCTCCACCAGCCACTCACTAAAGGCGGCCTGCTCAAACGCATACGAAAGCTTCGCAAAGGCGACCGTGTACAGTACCATCAGCACACCCAACACAGCGTGAACAGCCACCACCCACACCACAAACGCAGACGAGCTGGTTGTGTACAACATCTTGGCTTGGTTCAACGCTGTGGTATAGGCGTACGGTGTCTGGCCGAGGATTAGTTGGGTGTTGTTGCCGTTGCCGATAGAAGTGCTGTTGAGCGAGGGCTGCAGGGGTGAGAACTGAGCACGGTAGAGGACCTGCAGGTTTAACTCGCGATACCCGTTCAGGTTGGCGCATTTGTTGTAGTCCAGTACATACGACGGCATGAGTAGGGTCTTGCACTCCACCCCCACCCCCCACATTGCACGCCAGTGACCTCTCGGTGATAGATGGTCTTCAACTGATCCTCTGTTTCTCCCGCTCGGACACCCTGAACGATGATAGAATACCTCAGACTCAGCAGGAACGGGAGTCCATCCCACACCTGCACCGTCTCAGTGGCTGTGCCATCCGCAGCCGTGCGGGTCTCGTACATCTCCCGCACGAAGGCCAGGGACAGATCAAAGCTGCCTCGAGTGGGTGAGAACTCTTGAAACCACGACAGCGTAATCTCCGCATTGGGGCCTACCACCTCCACTCCGCGCTGCGCTAGAGCAACGCCATCGTATGGACAGCTCAGTTGATCTTCGCTGAAGCCGTAGTTGCCCTCATACAGCGTAGACCTCAACTGACACTCTCCGAAGGTTCCCTCATACGCCGTGAACAGAGCGGAGACGTTAGAGTCGACCCAGCACGCGATGTTACAACTGGTCACGGGCGTTGCCAGGCGGAAGTTGTTGACCCCCTTCAATGTTTCGAATCGACAGTAGTTGAGCGCGTACTCGTAGGTCGCCACCGTCCATCCTGGGCTGCAAAGAATAGCAGGGTATTTATATGTAGGGGGTATTACTAGTCTATTGCATTACATGGGGGTAGCAGGTCTACAGGGTATTTATATGTAGAGGGTATTACTAGGCTAATACATTACATGGGGGTAGCAGGTCAACAGGGTATTTATATGTAGGGGGTAGCAGGTCAACAGGGTATTTATATGTAGGGGGTAGCAGGTCAACAGGGTATTTATATGTAGGGGGTATTACTAAGCTATTACATTACATGGGGGTAGCAGGTCAGGGAGCAGCGCAAGATGAGGTCTACGAGCGATGAGATGAGGCGCTTGGTTGTTCTAGTCTCTGCTGGTGCGTAGAAGTATGGCGGCAATCATAACTGCAGTATGAGAACATAAGGATAGTATTAAATCTCAACGTGTATGATACCAATCGATGAAATGAAAGGTGGATTCTGGGCTAACTATATGCGAGCATAAGAATTGCCCATAGAGTTGTGAGAGATCCAGTTAAAAAGCTACACGAAAACATTCTCCACATATTGATGTTGATCAGCATAGGTACACGAATGCTGTACACTTCATAAAATTGGAAACTATCCTAAATATTCCTATACAAGTTTAGGTACATGACTAAAATACTGTACATAACATTAAATTGGAAACTATCCTGAATATTCCTATACAAGCTTCCTATACAAGCTTAGGTACATGACTAAAATACTTTACATAACATTAAATTGGAAACTATCCTAAATATTCCGATAAGAAGCATCAACGAAAAAACCTAGATATGCGAACATCGCTAATCGACGGGTTAAAAGTAGATTGCAAGCGGTAAGGAACCACCCAACAAACATTCGCGTACAAATCCCAGTCGAACGTTTTCTTTTGCGAGCCGCACGTACACACACAAGCATGTCTATACTGTGAAACCCGTACCTTGTGGAGAGCATCACCACAATCAGCAGCAACACGCCTAGAACAAAAGATATAATGATGGTGAATTCGCCTCGTCTGATGTTTTCCAATCGCGTAAGCGGGGCCGTGCGAAGCCGCATAGAAAGCAATTCAGGGCCAATTTGGGACAGGCTTTGGGATTTCATTTTGAATTTTGGTTTCTGGCATTCACGATCCAAAATTCAATGGGTTTTATGCGTCCCATCCACAACCTTCGATATAGTTGTAAATCGCACTCACACCGATCTCCGTATATGAGACCAGTTCCCTTTGAAGACTTGGTGGCACCATTTTCCCCCAAGTGTCAGGAGAAGTCGGCAGTGTTCAGGCCATACCGTAGTGTTCTCACCCAACAATCTCGCTCAAAGCAGCCGCTTGCTGGCTAGTTATTCTGAACAGAACCTACACAGCCGATATGATAGTGCTGATGGGTAAGTCAACCTGAAGAACATTTGTGGTGCAAATGGCCAATGTGAGTGGCGTTCGAGCGTTACGGGTCACTGTCATATTCTGAATCGTCTCACGTAAGCTTTTAACAACAGACACTGAAGAAAAAACTCGAGTATCGTCCATAAGATTGAAGATGTCAGCCATAGATATAAAATGCGTAACAAACGACGTGTGTGTGGATATATATATATAAGTACATACAAAAAATGCACACCTAATAAACAATTACATATATACATAAACACACACACACACACACGTATATACATATATATATATACACACACGTATATATATATTTATCATATATTTCGGGGTGTGTGTGTGTATCATATGTAACATACTAGAAGTTCTACTATAACAAACCTATAA